TACGTCACAGAGTTTTACATTTTCACATAATAACTAAAAGAACAAAATTAGCTAAACAGAGTGTTAGTATTACAACTGAACTCCAGAAAGAGCACTCTGAAATTCATTTTCTAAAATTGCTATATACCCATGTCATTTGTTGGGTGTGAGATGTACTGTTGACACAAAAATATTAAAATATAAGAATTTGGACTACATTCATGGTGATGCACACCTGCCTATAGTAAACACAGCAACCCCTTGTATATGATTCAATTACATAGCATGCACCCAAAATGCTGTGGATTGAAAGGGCCCCTGAAACTAAGCCCTGGCTTACCACTGTTGTCTGTGCCTAATTGGCCAATTACGGTGCTCTGATTGGACAGGGGAAAAGCTTGGGCGGGGCTTTTTCCTAAAAGTAGGAGTTTAAGCTATGAGCACGTAAGTGAAACCAGGATCAGAAGGGTGCACAGAGGTATCTTTTATTCCTCATACACACTGGACATTTTTACAGCGGCTGTTTTTGGCTTTTGATGTTTTTTTTCTACAGCCAGTAAACCCCCCAGCATGTTATCCTATGTGTCCATGTACACAGACTGTAATCAACATTTTTGGCTGGAAAAAAACCCAGGACTAGTGGGTTTCTAGAGGAGTTTTTTGTCTGTAAAATGCCAAAAAATGCCGCAAAACGCGGTAAAACACTGCAAACTGGCGTTTTTGGATTTTTTTACCAAAATTTTTTTTTTGTATAAAAAAACGCTGAAAAATGCTAAATCAGGAAAACGTTGCTAATCGCGGCAAAACACTACTAAATGCAAAAAAAAAGGAAAACTCACATTTTTAACGTGACTTTACACAGCTAAAGTTACCAGCGTTATCAAAACTTATATGGCAGAAAAAAGGAATAGCTGTCTCCTTGTGATGTCTTCTGGTAGACAGGAATTTTACTTTTAATAGGATAAAACAGCTAGCAGGTTTACTATAGGCTGGAAGTGCGCCATTAACACAAGTAACAACAATAAGGTATACCTATTAATTACTATAACATAAAAGAAATATGCCACAGTATGCTCAGTTACATAACCCCTTCTGACACGGTGCTCCAGTAATGTAAATAAAAAAATCCACAAAGCAGCTACTTAAAAAAAAAAAATTAGTACAGCAATCTAATAAACCAAAATAAAGCAGCACTTCCATATATTAAATGTCCATCACATGTAGGTTGTGCATTCATAAATCCTGTAAATAAAAACTGCAAATTATATTGTAAATATAGAGTATATAGCAATATAGTAAATGTGAAACTTCTTAAACTCTAACATGATCACCATGTGTACCGCCATACTGTGGAATTGCACTCACCAACTATTAATACCCCCAAATCATAGGAAGGTCATAATATACATGTAATGGCAATAGGAATCCAGTTTCAAAGATGGCTTTTGATGTATTTTGACGTTGGTCTTACCATTGGGGTATTGAAGTAGCATGGAGTCCTATCTACACTACATGTGTATTATGACCTTCCTATGATTTGGAGGTCATAATGGTTGGTATGTGCAGTTCCATTGGGTGGTGGGAACACATGGTGATTATCATTGTGGAAAGATGAAAAAATGAGGCTGCACTCTTCAGGGTTTCCATTGGTAGGTTTATTGTGTATAGCTGGCTGGTTACACAGTCCCCACCCTTAGCCCTCATTTTTTGATTTTGGTATATGTATTGAGGTAGACGAGCTCTTGTGACCTGCATGGAGCTGTGGACTTACTGATAGGCTGATTTAGGAACTTGGTGCAGTGCAGTTTTTCTTTTGGGATTATCGTTTTGGAGTTTAAGAAAAAGTTTCACATTTTGTCACCAATTCAGATTAATGCACACTATGAGGTTGATTTACTAAAGGCAAATAGACTGTGCGCTTTGCAAGGTGCACTCAATTTGCCCAGAGCTTAGTGAATGTAGTAAAGCTCTGTTGATATCCATCATCCAATCTAGTGCAAGCAAAATTGCTTTTTTTTTAAATTTATTATTATTTTATATGCACCTGATTGGATATTCATTATAAAGTGAAGCTTCACCTTATTCACTAATCTCTTGGAAAAATGAGCGCAACTGCGTTCATGTACAGGTTTTATGCATGCACAACCCATATGTGATGCTCAGATACATGTTGTAGGTCATAGTCAAGTGCTAACAATCTTCCATTTTGTAGACACACATCCTCCTTGACTTCTCATTACACAGGTAGGTGGCAAACATGGTGGTGGGTGTTCTATCATAAAACAGCAGAACAGCAATGGGGAATCTGATTAAACATTTTCAAACCAACTCACTTTGTCAGCGTGCATGCCGCTCAGCTTACTTGACACTAGCACTGGGCAGTGTTACTTTCCCAAACCTTCTACCCCAGTCTTTCTCATCCTTTTCAACACAGAGGAACCATTGAAGTAACTTTCTGGTCTCAGTGTATCCCTGCTAAAAATGACTATATCTACAACTCATGATACATTAGCTAAAAAGATCAATGGTGTCAGTGGGAACTTATCTAAGGGAAGAGATTGCTCATTGCTTGAGGAACCCTAGAGTTCCATGGAACCCTGGTTGAGAAACCCCGCATTAGTGTGATGGTCAGCAGGAAGAATGCTCTTTACATTTGTGGACATTGGGAAGAATCCCCCTTACAGATGGGTAAAAGCCAGGGCTGGTGCTTCTACTAGGGAAACTGGGCAGCTGCCTAGGGCACACTGCCACCTAGGGGCACCTGGGCACAGCACAGGCAGGTACTCTCTTTGTGTGGCCTATGGACCTCTTGTATGAATTCTTCATTTCTCTGCAGAGTCCTCCTCTCCTCATACACAGGGAATGATGAGGGAATGATCATATCTTTACTCACACATGACCATTTAGTATATATAGATCAGTACTTCATGTTGGCTCCCCCTAGTGATGACATTAGCCCAAGACACTGGGCTGTCGGCAGTCTCTGATTGAAGGAGTGGTCCGTACATCTCCAGTACACACACTGGCACACATGATCCTTCAGCTGTAACAGGGAGCCGGCTAGTGACCAAATGGGGCATGTCCAGCGCTGGCTCTGCCTTCTTCTACACAGCTGGAGCCAATCAATAGGTGGGAGCGTGCTCTGGTTGCAGGGTTAACCCTATGTGAGTAGGATGATTGGAGTCGGTGTGTATGAGAAGGAAGCGGTGTAGTGCTGGAAGGCTGCTTGTCCTCACTGAGAACTGCAGCCTGGACTCCCAATCCTGTCAGGAGCCATCAGCGGTGAGCCATGCCTAGGAGCATGGTGGGTCATAGAGGTGAGAGGAGAAGGAGGGGGGCGGACATTGCTCGGGTGAGGGGAGCGGATCTTGATTGATTGTGTGGGACGTTGCCACGGCATGAATGATCCTTCTGCTGAGGGGAGGGGTGGCAGAGGGGAAGGAAGAAAGACAGAGGAAGATGCTGGGTGTCTGGGGCCAGTGTAGCAACTGAGCTGCCACTCCTTCCAGTGTTCCTCTCAGACTCAGTCCCTTACTGCAAGCTGGCTGACAGCTGCAGAAAACTGTGGAGTTTTGTAACTGTCTCTCTTTTTTTTTTGTTCTGACTGGCTTATACAGTTAATTTATATTTGGTAATATGTATTTTGTCTTTAATGTTGGTGCTGGCGGCATCTTATGGCACTTATTTTTGCAAATTAAAAGAAATGTAGCTGTTTTATGTTTTGTTGATTTGATATTTTCTACTGTTTTTTTTACAGTTTTAATTTTTTTTTTTGGGGGGGGGCCCAAGTAGCTGGTCTTGCCGAGGGTGCAAGATAGTCTAGCAGTGACCCTGCTAAAAGGATTAACAGCATCAGTGGGAGCTTATCTGAGAGGTAGAATTTGCTCATTGCCCATGGAACCTCTAGCAACCTCTGGAGAAATCCTAGTGTTCAATGCATCCCTGGTTGAGAAACCCTGTTCTGCTCTAAACCTACAGTGTATCCAAAGCAAACATTTTTTTTGTCATTTTAAGGAATGGTTAAAACCCTTGTCAGGTTTTTCATTGCCTGTGTCTGTGTCAGATTTTCATGTACAACAGGAAGTAAAAGGAAATCTCTCCAAAGGATGAATGCCTCTTAGACAGTTGTCACTAGAACAAGTGTCCCATTGGTAGAGTCCCTGTTCTGGCAACAGCATTCAGCAATGTTCAGCATTTTGGATTTTTCTTTCACTTTCAGCCCCGATGACAATTGTTAGTAGGACAGATAGAAAGAATAAATGTCTATAAGGGGACACAGAATTCCAGCAAGTGTTTTACTTTAAGTGAACATCTCTTACCAAACTTAGGAAAAACTTGGCTTTAGGTAGACTTTAACTGTCACCATAAGCCGCATCCTGAGACCTTACCCATGGATAACCTCTGTTATAACTGAAGCATTATTTTTCTACTCCTAAAACTAATGCTTGCCATGTTGCCTACCTTTAACCCTAAGCCTTTGCTTGAGAAGGTGGTATTCTATTTAGAAGGGAAACAAGCTGCAAAATAAAATTCTATGTGTAGCAGAGAGGAAAATTCACTATACTTTCATATAAACCCTTCTTTGAGATCACCAAGAGTCCCATGTTGGCATCACCATTTAAATTGATGCCTCTGCATACAGAGATCTCTACTTTGAGTCTAAAGCTGGCCATACACTATACAATTTTCTTATTCAATTTTCTTTAGATTTACCTTGAACTATGTAGTGCACAGGCCTGCATGATTGCATACAAATTGAAGGTTTCCAGGTCCGACCTTATATTATATAGTTTTGGTAGATCTAAAGGAAAATTGTACAAGAAAATTGTATAATGTATGGCCAGCCTTAGTAAACTCAGCAATAGCATGCAGAGGCATTTTTTTCTTACCAATAATTGTGCCATAATCTTTTTTTCTAGAGAACATCATTGACAATCAGTTTATAATATTTCCCTGTCTAATATTTGGAGTTATAAAACTAGAAATACTTTTCTCATTGTTGGTTATTTTTTAATTCCTTCATGTTAATATATTCTGGGAAGTTTAATATTAAAAAATATAACACAACAATCGTATGTTTTCTTTTCTTTCAGAGTACTTCACCTTCTTTAAGTTTGTCCAGCAGTTACACCCCAAGGCTTTGTCCTCTGTCATTTGGAGAAGGTGTGGAATTTGATCCACTGCCACCCAAGGAGATAAGGTAATATACAGTATAGCTTTCTTTCACATTGGTACACATTTACATAGGTGTAATTCATTTATTTGGTATGTAAGCTTTTACAATCATGTAAAGTCCACATAGTTACTACAGGTAAATAGGCCGTTTTTGCATGATCCCCGAGGACTTTTATTCCAAAGCAGGACACACACATTGTTAAGCTGATACTCAGCCCAAGAGCAATTTGACAGCTTAAGAATGTAATGTTTTGTTGTGGTATTGGCAGTACAAAGAGCTGAAATAACCAGATGTTTTACTTTCAGATGGCAAAGTTTCCAGGAACAACTATTTTAGTTAATAGTTAGCCGCAAAGTACACCTTTTGTTTTTAACTCGATACTGACAAAAGTCTACTGTAAAGATCATGTGTCATAGACTGTTCACCAATGCAAATACATTGTCTGTAATTACTGCTAGAACATTTATATAGACTTCCTCTTATACAAATTAACCCAGGAGTGTGATTATTTCTTTGATAAATTTGTGAACCTAACATATTAGAAATAATCTGTTTCGTTTTCATAGCAGCTTGGTCAATGCTACCACGAGAAAAATCATTATTTTGTTTTAAAGTAGTTCTAATCAATAACATATCTATAATATTTTTAATATAAATGTTGTATGACATTTTGATATGTGCATTTTGGGACATCTGGCGGTTTTAGGAAATCTGGTTAATCTAAGATTGGGGCTTTGTTTCTCACTACCCACTTTAAGGCAGGCTATAGATGGTGCAAATTTCCTTCCTGAAACCACAGGCTGCAGGAAAGAAATTTGCACGATTACTCCATCAACACAGTCAGTGTTGACAGGGGAATGCCTCCTCCTGAGATATTGTATTCTCCCGGTAGGGAAAGCTGTCCCCACCAGAAGAGAAGTGATTATTACTAGTGGCAGTCACTAGTAATAATCGCAAGTAAAGGCTGGTTGTACCCAAGTTGATTGATCGATCAGTGTTTGCTGACAGCTTATTTTGGCAGCCCGCACTTGTATGTCTTATTAAATTTCCTTTAAAAGAACCACGTTTACTTTATAACACAACTGCTTCTCTTGATCACATGTTAACCACTTCCAGACGGGACACTTTCACCCCCTTCCTGACCAGGGCACTTTTCAGCTTTCAGCGCTATCACATTTTGAATGACAATTGCGCGGTCATGCAACACTGTACACAAATTAATTTTTTACCATTTTTTTTAGACAGATAAAGCTTTATTTTGGTGGTATTTATTCACCACTGGGATTTTTATTTTTTTTGCTATGTAAATGAAAAAGTCCAAAAATTTTGAAAAAAAAAATGTTTTTTTTATAAAATTTTGCAAATAAATATTTTGTCATAAACCTTGGCCAAAATTTATTCCGTTATCTTTTAGTAAAAAAAAATCCAAATTAGTTTATAACCAAAAATTATAATTTGTAAAATTTTTTTTTACATTTTTATTTTATTTTTTTATATTATTATTATTATTTTTTTTTTTTTTTTTTACATACTGTCACCCTAGCAGTACAGTGTCACCATGGTGACACTGTACTACTTGTGGGAGGTGATGAAGATTTTTTTTTTTTTTTTTTTACACTGATTGCTTTTACACCCATATAGGATATAAAAGCAATCATTTCTCTTTCTCTCTGTGTGCATTCTTGCAGTCATTGAGAAGTACTGAGTGAGCTGTGATTGGTCACAGCTTGTCACATGGTACAAGGCTGTTGTGAATAGCCTTGTACCATGTGACCTCTGTGACCATTCACAGATTTCACACGTAGTAAGCAATGATGTCACAAGTGACATCTTGCTTACTACTTTGCATGTGATCACTGATTGGCCAATCAGTGATCACATGATCCAGACCTCGTACAGAGGTCCCATCCGACGATCGGTGTTTCACTGTGTCCGGAGGACACAGCGGGCACCGGATCGTGGTGCTGCGCACTCCCAGGGAGCGCGCACAAGCCGGGTGCAGGGAGGCCGTTTATAAATGGCCACCCGACCCTGCACTGCCACCGTCCGGCCGTTTATATACAACGGCCGGTCGGAAAGTGGTTAAATAAACATGACACTGATGTCATGCTACTGATTGAATCCCTTTTACATGACATCATAGGGAAGGACTTTTTCAAGCTAATTATGTAGATGACAAGAACCAGAGAGGATTTTCTAATCTCAGTTTCAAATGAAGCACCACTATGGTAGACTTGGGTATAAACCGGTGTAGAGCTATTTACCCTGAGGTCATCACAGAGGACAAGGGGGCACTCTTTACGTTTGGATGAAAAGAAATTTAATCTCCAAATATGGAAAGGTTTCTTCACAGTGAGAGCTGTGAAAATGTAGAATAGACTCCCTCAAGAGTTGGTTCTGGCCAGGTCAGTGGATTGCTTTAAAAAAAGGCCTGGATTCTTTCTTAGATACACAGAATATAACTGGATACTAACATTTATAGGTAAAGTTGATCCAGGGAATATCCGATTGCCTCTCGGGGGATAAGGAAGGAATTGTTTTCCCTGCAGGAGCAAATTGGATCATGCTTTGCTGTTTTTTTTTGCCTTCCTCTGGATCAACTGTGGGTATAGGATTATCATTTTTTTTTTTAATGGTTGAACTGGATGGACTTTTTTTCAGCCAGACTAACTATGTAACTATATATAATCCATAATCCATAGAAGGGAACAGCTGATATCGCATCTTTCCAATCCTGCGATGTCAGAGTGGTCAACTTCACACAGGTATATTTTATAGTTCCTTCAGTGACATTTGGCAGCTGTTATCAGAGCCAAAGAGGTCCAACAAAATCTGGCCACTGTCATATAGTGCAATATACAGCATATATTTATACTTGAATACTGATTTTGAGCCAGCAGTCTGAATATATCATGCTCGAAATAAATAAAGAATTAACAATGTTCTATTTTATGAACCTTTTCATGTTTCTGCAAGATATTTTTCTTGCCAGTTGTCTGTTTATTTGGAAATACATATTGTCCCTTTACAGAGTCCATTAATTACACACTAGCTCCTCCTTTCAAATGCCTGTGGTGCTTTAACTGTAAAGAAATACTAAGAAAGATTATTGTCATCCTCAAAACCTTGTTTCTTAAAAAGATCAATAAAAACAGACAAGAATGTGCATAGCCAGAGCATTAATGGCATACTATCTTTGACATAGGAAATCCTTTTAAGAAAATGTTACTAGAAGTTTAACATTTGCATTAAAGATTTCATGGGTACAGAGAATGTCTTCCAGATGACTGTAAAAGTGGATGTTGAATAAAGAACTAAATGTTCAAAGCAAAGTTATGTTTTCACTGGAAGTTCCCATTTGTGACAAGCAGTAAAAATACAAATATATAACTAAAATGGGAACTGTAATTCATATGTTATCTGCCCTACACCCAGTCCAGTGAAAGAAAAGTAATGATTAATTATGAATGTGCCGACTGAGTAGACAAGGATTCATTTTCAATTGTTCACTACTTGGATATCCATGTCTAACATAGTGAACTGAAATTGTGTGAACTATGCCTACTTGCTACTAATTTTGAGATGAGTTTTTGTTTGCAGCAGCCTGATTTTCTAGTACTGGTTCTGTAATGTAGGGCCTGCAGGAACCATTACCCTGTAAGAAATATCAGCAGATATCCATAGCCTTTTTAACTTTTTTTTAAATCCCTCCTATCACTCATCCTGTTGCTTTACTGCAGTATTATCCAAAGTGTGGGTTGCTTACCAATGGTGGCCTACTACTGGTCCTAACTCTTACTGGTACATGGCAGGAGTTGGCATTTAAAAAGAATTACCAGATGGAGCCCAGAGAACAAAAATAGCTTTTATTCACATTTTAAATAACTAAACTTAAAAGCCTTTACAAGAGGGAGAAAATCCCCAATATGAGAATTGTTTACTGTGGTGGTAGCAAATAAGCAATTGAAGGTGCATGGTGATTTAAACTACAGACTATGTGCTGTAATTGGAACCAGGCTATGCGTTGTATTTGGAACCAGGTTGTGGGTTGTATTTGAAAACAAGGTATGTGTTGTATTTAGACTTTTTGCAGAGAGCAGTCTCTTGATTAGATTTTTTTTGGCTAGCGATATCTACGGCGGAGTGGTCTTCATCATAGATTTCAGAGTTGAGAAGGAGAAACTGAAATTCAAATAGCAGTAGGCACAGCTGAAACATGTAGCTGCCAGTGTTCAAAAAGAAATGAAACATGGCACTTAAGTATGCTTGGTGCCTGCAGTTTGTACCTGTTAGCAGCTTCTTTTTTTATCACTTTAAATGTATTTCTCAGTGTGCAAATACACAAATTTCCCTTTATATAATCATCTTGTTTCTCTGTATATCAGGGGTCAGATTGAGAGAAATAGGGTTAGCATTTAAATTTAGCCAGGCTCTTCTAAAGTGCACATGTGCTTACATGGAACATGCTGACAGGAGGAGAGAGCATGTTGCTTTTTCATTGTTCAGACTGCAAGCTGGGGGTGTGTTTTTGACCAAGCTCTGCTGCTACTGTAGTGAAGGTAGAGAAGTGTATGCTTTATGCTTTGTTATGTAAAACAACATACTTCCCAACTAAGTACTGAGATGCTTGCTTAGAGTTCAGCTGTATTGAATCAGATTAACATCAGTGAGAACAGCTTTTTTTATGTGACGTAACATGAATGCAATGTATTTGTAATTCTCCCTGGTACACTATCTATGGATATGTCCTGCCCATTTTATTTCTGAGTGTGAAAGATATGTGGAATATGTACTTTGGATATCTTGATGTATCACAGGTGGGGTGGGTGTACTGTGTGTGGAAAGTACTGTAAAGGCCACAGGTGTATTTTGATAAGCGTCTTCCTTTTTTAATTTTGTTTTGTTTGTTTTGATTGTAATAATAAAAAAAAAAAAACATTATTGAGAACTAAAAAGTCAGTTATGCCAACATCAGAAGGTAAATGTATCAAAAGAAGGTACAAAGTCTGTAGATAACATCTTTCAGAGAATGTTTCATGTGGCAGGCTTATGCATGCTTAGTGAAAGAATTTACTGTGAAAGCTTCCTTATATTTCTGTGAATAAATAACTCACTCGTAAAAAAAAGCTGCTAAGTTTTTAGTGTGCAAACATAATCAGTTTCTTATCTAGGTGTAAAATGCAATACATATATAATTTCTCATGAACAAAAAGATAAAAATATATGTAATCTAAATATCTATACAAATTATGAATATTTTTACAGCAAAAGTCACATTTTCTGTACATAAACTGGTAAAAAAGAAATGTCAGACACTGCATGAACTATTAGGATGTTTTTAACAACAACTATATATATATATATATATATATATATATATATATATATATATATATATATATACAGTTGTGTTCAAAATAATAGCAGTGTGTTGGAAAAAGTGAATAAAGCTCAAAATCCTTCTAATAGCTTTTATTTCCATACACACAAATGCATTGGGAACACTACACATTCTATTCCAAATCAAAACATGAAGAAAAATATATCAAATTTGTGTTGTTCCTCTAAAAAAATTGAAGAAAAGTGGCTATTCTTCTATCCATTCGAATGGTAGTTTTTCGCTTTCTTCAACATCTTTCAGGTTTTGGTTGCCATTTTAAAGCATTTGCGATCATTTTAGCTGAGCGGCCTATCATTTTCTGCACTTCTTTATATGTTTTCCCCTCTCCAATCAACTTTTTAATCAAGGTACGCAGTCCTTCTGAACAATGTCTGGAAGGACCCATTTTGCTCAGAATTTCAAACACCTCTCAATTAGTGATTCAATTACACAGAATCAGCATCATGCATGTCATGACTGTTGGGTCTGTTGGATTTCTATTACTCTACTACACCTGCTAAATTATTTCCCATGTAGAAATATCATTTCTACCAAAAACAGTGATTGATCAGGTTAGTGATGTCTGACTGCTATTATTTTGAATATATATATATATATATATATATATATATATATATACCCACACAATCACCGGCCACTTTATTAGGTACACCTGTTCAATTGCTTGGTAACACAATGTAGATGTGGTGAAGGCAACTTGCTGAAGTTCAAACTGAGCATTAGAATGGGGAAGAAAGGAGATTTAAGTGACTTTGAACGTGGCATGGTTGTTGGTGCCAGATGGGCTGGTCTGAGTATTTCAAAAACTGCTGATCTATTGGGATTTTCATGCACAACCATCTCTAGGGTTTACAGAGTATGGTCTGAAAAAGAGAAAATATCCAGTGAGTGGCAGTTGTGTGGTTGAAAATGCCTTGTTGATTGCAGAGGTCTGGTCTGATTAGTCTCGATTTCAGCTGTGACATTCAGATGGTGGGTCAGAATTTGCTGTAAACAACAAGAAAGCATGGATCCATCCTGCCTTGTGTCAATGGTTCAGGCTGGTGCAAAAGCTTTAGGCAGGTGTGAAGAAATGCTCTAAAGTAAGAATGCCTGCAAAAATATATATTTTAATATTTTAGCAATTTACAAATGCAAAGTGAGCGAACAGGAGAAAAATCAAATCAATATTTGGTGTGCCTACCCTTAGGCTTCAAACCTTACACTTGTACATTTCATACCCTTGCACAAAGTCAGGGATTTTTTAGGATTAGAGTCAGGTGTACAATTCACCAACTATACCAAGCAGGTGCTAAGGATCGTCAATTTCATATGTAAGTTGAAACACAGTCATTAGTGTAAACAGAAACAGCTGTGTAGGAGGCTTAACACTATCAAAGGAACAACCAAACTCTGCTACAAACTTGGGGTTGTGGAAGACAGTTTCATGTCAAAGGTCATACACTATGGCAAGACTGAGCACAGCAACAAGACACAAGGTAGTTACACTGCATCAGCAATGTCTCTCCCAGGCAAAGATTTCAAAGCAGACTGGGGTTTCAAGATGTGCTGTTCAAGCTCTTTCGAAGAGACCAAAATGAAGAGGCAAGATTGAGGACTGTAGAAACAGTGGTTGACAAAGAAAACTTAATGCAGCAGATAAAAGACAAATAATGTTTACTTCCCTTCAGCATTGGAAGTTGTCCAGCAGTGCCATCAGCACAGAAGTGGCAGAAACCAGTGGGGCACAGGTACACCCATCTACTTTTTTAGAGACATCTGTCCAGAAGTGACCTTAATGTAAGAATTGCAACTAAAAATCCATACCACCGACCTGGAAATAATACTAAGCGACTCAACTATGCATGAAACATAGGAACTGAGGTGCAGAAAAATGGCAGCAGGTGCTCTGGACTGATGTGTTTGTCATATGGCTGGAGAGCGGTATAATAATTAGAGTCTGCAGCAACAGTGAAGCGTGGTGGAGGCTCCTTGCAAATTTGGGGCTGCATTTCTGCAAATGGAGTTGGAGATTTGGTCAGGATCTTTGGTGTCCTCAATGCTGAGAAATACAGGCAGATACTTATCCATCATGCCGTATTATCAGGGAGGCGTGTGATTAGCCCCAAATTTATTCTGTAACAGGACAACAACCCCAAACATGCAGCCAGTGTCATTACGAACTATCTTCACCATAAAGAAGAACAAGGAGTCCTGGAAGTGATGGTTTGGCCCCGTAAAGAGCCCTAATCTCAATGTCATTCAGTCTGTCTGGGATTACATGAAGAGGCAGACGTATTTGAGGCAGCCTACATCCACAGAAGATCTGTAGTTAGTTCTCCAAGAGGTTTGAAACAACCTATCTGCCTTCAAAACTTACCTGTTCCTTCAAAAACTGAGTGCAAGTGTACCTAAAAAAAAACTGATGCTGTTTTGAAGCAAAAGGTGGTCACACCAAATATTGATTTGATTTAGATTTCTTTTCATTTACTTTCCATTTTGTTAGGTGATAAAAATAAACTATTAACACTTCTATTCCTGAAAGCATTTTTAAATTACAGCATTTTTCACACCTGCCTAAAAGTTTTGCACAATAGTGTATGTATATACATTTGCTGTATGTATAACCAGTGAAAAAGAAAAGAAAGACTCTGATGAATGAGGCCTGTTATTTGAAATGTTTCACGTGATATAAATTGCTGGTCACATTTATCAGAATGTATTAAGCAACAATATGAATTGCCCCATAGCCAGGGAGGGGACTGACAACTCATGGGGCCCCCGGGCAATAGGGGATCATGGGGCTCCTGTGTCCTTGCCCAAACTCAAAAACGCCTATGAAAAAGGTACCAGGGGCATCTCATGGGGCCCCCTACTGACCTCGGGCCCTCAGGCAGTGCCCAAGTTTCCAAATGGTCAGTCCGCCCCTGCCCATAGCAACCAGAGAGTAACTGACCTTTTTGGTTGTAGCCTCAAAGAATCACATTGTTTGTTTTAACAAACAGTTTTTCATTTTACAATGCCAATATTTGGAAAGTGCATGTGGTTATACTTTTCTTTAAACATAACCTTTTGTATCTTAAAGTGACACATTATTTTTATAATCCTCAAATACTGTTATATTTTGTCTTTCCAGGTATACATCTTCTGTGAAATATGACTCTGATAAGCACTTTATTGACAACATCTACATGCCTGTGGGCCTGGGTGTCTCCTCATGCAGTCAAACAGTAATCTGCGTTCCCAACTGTACATGGCGCAGCTACAGAGCCGAAGTTCACTTTCAGCCAAAGAACAAACCACAGAGATTCATGAGCACCACCATAGTTTATCCAAAGCACACAAAAACAGTCTACACTACCACCCTGGATTACAACTGCAAGAAATGTATGAGGCGTTTTCTGTCTAGTGTAGAGCTGGAGTCCGCTGAACATGTGGGGAACGAGTGCTTTGCGGATGAATACTGACTGCCTATGTGTCTACCTCCATACTGTACAAGACTATAAACATGGAGCACTTTGGCCAACCTAATATTAAACTGACCCATCACAAAGGCAAGAAAATGCAGAACTAAAAAGCTGTAAAATATGAGAATTATTGTAGGCAAAATGTTTCATCAGAAAACTGGTAGTGACACTTTTTTAACCTATTGAAGATGGTTCATAAAATCATGTGCAATGGACAGCAATGTGACTACAAAGGATAGACTATACTCCAGTCTTACTAAAACCTACGGGTATCTTATAAAGCACTAAAATACTTCCTTGTATTGTATATTGGAGTCTAGACAAGATGCTATTATAATCTATTTCTTCCTTATAATGCAATCATTTTGTTATGTTACTCTAGACCAGCCTTTGTCAACTTTTTCCACACAGAAAAACCCTTGAAATAACTTTCCGTCTCAGAGAACCCCTGCTAAAAATTACTTTATCTACACTCATGATACATTAGTGTAATGGTCAGTGGAAAGAATGGTCCTTGCACTTGTGGGCACTGGGAAAAATTACCCCCTTACAGATAGCTAAATGATAGATCAATGGTATCAGTGGGAACTTATCTGACAGGCAGTTATTGCTCATTGCTCTTGGAACCCCTAGCAATCTCTGGAGGAACCCTGGTTGATAAACCACAGATAGCTAAATGATAGATCAATGGTATCAGTGGGAACTTATCTGACAGGCAGATATTGCTCATTGCTCTTGGAACCCCTAGCAATCTCTGGAGGAACCCTGGTTGATAAACCCTGCTGTACACAGAATCAGTTTGTCCAGCTGGAGGCCCTTGAGCTGGATATGGTTTTCTGTCACATCCATACCTTATCCTGAATAAATAACACATCTATATCTTTAACATGTATAGTTCTTTCCATTAAAAAATATTCACAACAGTCAATATTGGTGCCCCGAAAGGTGCTACTTCTGAACACTTACATCTGAGATCAAAAAAACTTGGGTATGGAATCAAACTGGTTACCTGGAGGCTCAGTTGGTTGGAACAATAAAAGACTAAGATGGACAGCTAAATCATTTTTGATGTGATAGCCAAATATGCATTACTTTTCCAGCACCATTTTTGTATTCTAAATAAAAATAATACAATTGTGTGTCATTGTGAATGTATTAATATTAAAATGACAAAGCACAGAAAGATGTATGGTGTACAAAGGGGAAACAGATGGCACATACATAGTTCTCAAAGAGAAGGTAGGTGACACGGGTAAATATTCATTGAATTTAATGAGATTGCTTGGACTTTAAAATTCTGACTTTCAGCATGATGGTGGTATTGACAGTAGGTAGTAAACAATGAATGCATTACATTACACACTGTGGAAAGGAAGCTCTCAAAGTCAACATATGGAAGACCCTAGATACACCTAAGTGGTGCAAAGGTTTTTCACAAATAAATCCTCATCCGGATGTGTTGGCCAACATAGCTACAAGCTGGTGTAGCTAACACTGTTCCTTTATTAACTCAAGTAATATAAAGATTTGTAAATACTTTTCTTAAGCAAAGAAAACTTTCTATTATTCATTGTTCTGGATAGAATGTGGAAAGGTTAGAACTTCTTTAGGTCATTTAATGTTTTTAAATTGTTATTTTGACAGAAAAATTAGAGAAAATCTCCCCAGTGGGGACTTGTAAAGCAATATAAACCTCACAGAGGTACTATCTGTCCCATTCTCTAACACATAAAGGTTTGGACTGGAGTTCCACTTTAAGCCTTTAGTAGTTTAACTATGTTGTGCAAATAATACTGTGCCTTGCTTATTATGGGTTTGTTTTAACTCCAAGGCAGAATGAAAAATTCCTATTATGCCTTCTGCAATTGATATAACACTGTCATATGAGCTAATGTCAGCAGACATTCCCTTCATGTCAGGTTCCCACAAGCATTCCAGTGAACCCCTGTGAAAATGGCAGTTATTGAGTGATTTTGGGCTCCAGCACAGCCCTTAACAGGACAAATTGACATTCCTTCATTTAATGTGGATGTGCAGGCCCACATTTTATTTCCTGTGTACATGTGTAAAAATGTGCAACAAAGCATAATGCCATTTGTAGCTCCATAGTAGGCAGCATAATGAGAAATCCAGAATTATGCTTTAAACAGATTTTTACCTTTCCTCTTTGTGTCATTTTTCATTTATTTCCCAGTGAGCATGCTTATGTCTGATACAGTATTTATTCAAGAAGGCCCAGAGGACAAATGAACAGTGTGATACTGTAGAAGCTGCTTAACTATTTTTGCAGCAGTCTTTTCAAGCTTTACAGATAGACATACAGGAGTGACATTCAGTGGCGACTCTAGGAACAATATATAGGGAGGGCCCATAGGATACCACAATCAAAACTGGGGGCACCTAATGATTTTCACCACTAAATCATACCACTTTAAAAAAACAAGTAAGGATATATAAATAAGATTTCAGAATACGAGAGTAATGTGGTATACAGTTAAGCCTTTTTATTGTACTACCTAACACTTAAAAGAGCTTTCAAAAAAATTTCCTTTCTTCCTCAGTTATTGCTTCATAACTGAGAAAGAGGGAAAAACTCTCAAAAGCTTTTCTTTATAGTTTAAATCAATTTCAGCAAACACCAGGACTGTGTAATTATCCCCCTATGTTAAATTTGTCACTAATGAAGACCAATGAACAGACCCTGAGTGTGTTTTTGTGGGTCTCTGTTTTTTTCTGGCCTGATGGTCAGAGACTGCAGACATACTACAGGAGATGGTCAGAGATTGCAGGCATTCTACAGGAGATGCCCATCCCCATCAGTGCCCCCATACATCATTGTCCCCATACATCAGGTATCTCCATCAGTTTCCCCATTCACCAGGTGTCCCCATCATTGTCCCCATGCATCAGGTGTCCATATACATCAGTCTATATACACATAATTTTGCTCTGGGACTTAAATAAAGTGCAACATGTATTACAATAAATATTAACCAATTTTATTAGTGGGAAAATATAATTGACATAAGATGACATAAAAGGTTACTATATTGTAAAGTTGATTTATGATAATTCCATAATATATTTCATATCAAGTTACAATATTACAAATGTAAACACATGATTCAGTTAAAATTGCATCTTTATGATAGTTCCATAATATAATTAATATCAAATTACAATATTATAAAGGTCAACACATGATTAGTTAAAGATACATCCTTTAAACCAGGGGCGGACTGACAACTCATGGGGCCCCCGGGCAATAGGGGATCATGGGGCCCCTGTGTCCTTGCCCAAACTCAAAAAAGCCTATGAAAAAGGTTCCAGTGGCATCTCATGGGGCCCCCTACTGACCCTGGGCAGTGCACGAGTTTCCAAATGGTCAGTCTGCCCCTGCTTTAAACTCAATGCATTTCTTGAGTCATTGCCCACTCCATCAGAAGTAGATGCACAGATAGATGTTTACAAAATAGAAACATCAGTTGTAAATATATAATATGACTAAAAAAAGGTGTTACATATAATAGCCAAGGGCTACCATAGGAGACCCCATACTTACAATTCAGATATGCATGGATCATCGTGGATGTCTGACTCAGGAGCTGTGGGAGATGTGTCCCAATACATCGGGTGTCCCCATCAGTGTCCCCATACATCAGCGTCCCCATATATCAGTGTCCCATACATCAGTGTCCCCATACATCAGGTGTCCCCATATATTAGTGTCTCCATACATCAGTGTCCCCATTCATCAGGTGTCCTCATCCATCAGGTGTCCCCCATACATCAGAGTTGCCCCCTTGTATTCACAGATGCTGTTTAGGCAGCTCCTCCTTCCTCTCCCGCACTATGAGTTCTCATTTCCCCCTGCTGGAGGAAGGAATCCTCTCTCCTGCAGAAGCCAGCCACTGTCGAAGAGGAGAAGCATGAGACTTCTTGTACCCTCTCACAGTGGCTGAACACCTGCACCTAATTTTGGGGGGGGGGGTGGGGGGTGGCACAACAGGAAGGTGGGCAAGGAAATACCTTCTCCTTACCTACCTGTAGCAGCGCCACTGGTGGCCACATTTATCCACAGAACAAACAGTACTGTAGTTGGAAGAAATATCTGTTTTTAATCTGAAATACACGCATCGCTCAGGCTATAAAAACACTTTAACGCTGTTAGGTATTTTATATTTATTACGGCGTTTTCATTGGATATCAGGATTATGTATCACGCTACATCAGCGCTCGCGCCTAAATGCGTTCTGTAGAAGTGAAAGATGGAAGGGCAGTATTACTGTCGCATAAATATTGGGACATCGAAACAAATTCTATATTAGCTTTTGGCTCTATTTCTCATACCACCACGAATGGATTTGTAATGAACAATGGTGTGTAGAGTGCTTGAATGCAGAATATCATGCTTTTCTAAATTTGAGGGTTATGATTTCACTAAATTTCATAGCCCGTGATCGGCAATTCCCTTGTAGGCACGAAAATGTTACTTCAGAACAAGAAAGGAAAAAACATAACAACCGTTGTAACCTTGAGTAAACCACATACACCCGGCAACTAGAAGGAAGAAGAAAAAAATTAATCAGATCTTACAACCCCATCATAAACAGAGGATGGAATCTGAAGAAATATTACCAGCAACCCGCCAAATACTGGTTCACGACAACCCTTCCAACAATTATGGGCCTTCAGACAACCCCAATACTGGACCCTTCAGAAACCCCCACAATACTTGGCTTTCATTCGAAGCCACACAGTGTACTAGGAACCAAGTTCTTTCGATACATGTGTACACTCCAAAAATGATGTGCTAGTAGGCGCTTCCTACAAGTATGTGTGTATGGGGGGTCCATCGACGAAATGTACTGATAGACTCCTGAGTGTGCAAGATAATAGTCAGCAACTGTCTATGCATCTTGGTTTTGCACTATGTCCGGCGCGCGTCGACTCTCTCACTCCACGCTCAGAGCTCAGTCACCTATTACAGCCTGTGAGTT